CCGCCGCCGATTTGAGCCGTCTCGGCTTGCATCTCTGCCCTACAGTCCATCAGTAGCACCGTCCGTTAAAAAGAACCAATGCAGTATTTGCGTGTTGACCCTTAGAACGTTTTCCTGGTCCATAAGAGCTTATTCCGTGAGATCAAAGGGTATAATAAACATGAGCTGAAATTATGTTAGTATATTAGCAATTAAATTACCAAACTTTAGTTCTTCAAATAGACGATTTCATTTTGTAGACAAAATTCAAAATTATTCAAATTAATTGTATTTCTAGACCACATTTGTATTTTACGACAATTAAGCATATTAAAATAAATACACAATAATAACAACAAATTAACTAAATAAATATTAACTAACATTTTAAAATAACTTACATAAATAAATCACACAAAAACCGATAATATTACAAAAAACATTACAAATAGGAGGAGAGTCAAAAATATTTAAAAAAAATTAATAACTTTTTGTGAAATTCAGTGTCTTTTTAAACACATAATTATAAAAAAACAAATCAAGAAAAATAAAATATATATATAGCAACAAATACAAAAGAGAGAAAATTTAATAAAAAATAAACAAAAATTTATTAAAATAAACAAATAAAATGTGCATTACATTAGTTTATTTGTATGTGTAACAAAAATTAATAAATTAGAATTTTTATGTATGTATAATATACAATAAAATATTATTACTAAATATTAATAACTATTGCTCTGTATGTAAATGTATATGTATAATAAATAATTATATTTATAGATTACAAAACACAATAAACAAAATATGTACAATATTATAATTATTAATTACATACAAATAATATTAATATGAATACAAATTATTTATTAATTAATACACATGAAACAACAAAATAATTAAGTATTTAATTAGTAACATATTTATGTATGTATGTAACTCTACATAGTATGTATGTTTTTATATTAGTTACTAAAAACTGCAGATCAAATCTACTCAAATTTATTACATACATATGTATATGTATTTATAGCTAAAAGTACTTACATATATACTTATTTATATATATGAATGTATGTGTATACTTATGTATGTACTTGTGATTGTATTTGTGTATGTATTGTGTAAAAAATACACATAGCGATTTATTTGCACATAAATATAAATACATATGTATGTATTTATTTATTACATACAAACTTTTAAGCATAAATTAAAAACTGTATATGCGTGGGTAAACATACCTCCCTCTTTTTTCAATACACAGAAATACAAACTTACATACATACTTATATACACTTAAACATTATTATATACTCATTGATTATACTTATACATACAAACATTATGTGCTGTATGTACAAATAATTAAAAAAGAAAGAAAATTTAATTATCCTTATGTATGTAAATGTAATTTAAGAATTTAAACAACAACAATAATAGAAAAAAAACAAAAATATTGACAATTAAATTTGCAATTAATTTCATAATAGAACCCGAAAAAAACAAAAAACAAAAATTGTATAAATGAAACAAATAAATATTTAACAAAAAATATATATTACAATATAAAAAAACAAACACAAAACAAAGAAAATCAAAGGCAAATAATAAACAAAAGTAAATATTGAAAAAATATATTAAACTATTGTGTTTTATTTTAACACTAGCTGTGTCAATATACATAAATAAACTAGTAGGAAAGTATAGTCGGGCATGGCCGACCCTACACCACTGAGTATGTTAAAAATGTCGATTATTTTTATTAACAAAGCATTTAAGTTGTTTACCTTAATTCCGAAATATTTTAACAATTTGTTGAAAAGAAGTGATTTTCTAGTGATTATATGGGGGCAAGGGTAAATATAGGCCTATTCTTATACATTTTGGTACATGGCTTTACGTTTACATTAGAGTTATGTAAGCTGGATTTCATCGTAATATTAGTGTTTATTGGTGAATTATTGACTTTCAAGTAATTTTCTGAAGGGGACTTTGTATGGGGGCTGGGGTCAAATAATGTCCGATAATTACGAAAATCGGTAATATTATTAAGACGTATATAGAACTAAGTTTTCCCGATTTTTGTACAGATACTACAATATTTAACATAATTATGAACTCAAAAGTCCTTTTCGGGGGGTAGGGTTGTATGGGGGCTAGGTCAAATAATGGACCATTTTCAATAGGCTTCGTCGGTGGACCAAAAAACACGTATGGTTCAAATTTCAGCAAAATATTTTGAAAATTGCGACTTGTACCTTGCGACAGGCAGCCAGACGGACATGGCTTAATCGACTCAGAAAGTGATTCTGAGTCAATCGGTATACTTTAAGGTGTAGGACCAATATTTTTGTGCGTTACAAACATCAGCACAAACGTATAATACCCTCCCCACTATGGTGGTGTAGGGTATAAAAACTCTGCGATTTCACTTACTTAATTTTTCTAGTAAGTATGCTATACTTTTATATACATATACATATGTAGATAGATAGATTGATAGATAGATAGATAGATAGATAGATAGATAGATAGATAGATAGATAGATAGATAGATAGATAGATAGATAGATAGATAGATAGATAGATAGATAGATAGATAGATAGATAGATTGATAGATAGATAGATAGATAGATAGATAGATAGATAGATAGATAGATAGATAGATAGATAGATAGATAGATAGATAGATAGATAGATAGATAGATAGATAGATAGATAGATAGATATATAGATAGATAGATAGATAGATAGATAGATAGATAGATAGATAGATAGATAGATAGATAGATAGATAGATAGATAGATAGATAGATAGATAGATAGATAGATAGATAGATAGATAGATAGATAGATAGATAGATAGATAGATAGATAGATAGATAGATAGATAGATAGATAGATAGATAGATAGATAGATAGATAGATAGATAGATAGATAGATAGATAGATAGATAGATAGATAGATAGATAGATATATAGATAGATAAAAGTGTCACAATATCCTTCAAAAATAGAAATGTATTTGACAATTAGTTCAGAATTTAAAAAGGTCACTCTCCCAAAAACAATTGCTGCTAAATTTGGTGACTGTTGCGTTTGGATCTCTTTAAAGGTGGAAGTACACAACTCGCGTTGTACGCGGCAACGCGTTATAAGCTTCTGTCAAAAAAAGTTGAAATAGTGTGTTTTCATTTAACAAGTTACACACTGTAGTTTATAACGCGTCTGCCGCGAATAGTTCAGCAACTTTCAACTTTTGACGCGTCGGCAGCTGATTAGGGTTGTGTTTTGTTTTGTGTAGAATAAGAATAAACTAAAATGAATTTCATCAACAATGAAAGAAACAATTTAAAAAATAAACAAAAACTTAAAATTTTGATTTTTAAAACAGTAATAATTTAAAAAAAAACATAAAAAAAAAAGATCAAAATGACGCGTGGTGTGTAACTTGCAGCTTGTAAAGCGCGAAAAGTTTGAAAAGCGTAAAACGCGTTGCTGCCTCAACGCGTGTTGTGTACGTCCACCATAAAAGAGTGTCCTCTGGGAGGTGGGGTATTTTGAATACCATAATTGCTAAATTAACCCTTTTTTTGATAAATGAACTCTTTGAAATCTATGGTCTGTCATTTTCTCATAGACATTGTGACACTTTTAAAATTGTCATAACATCCATGGTTATTATGACTCTGGATAGTATGACACGCCATCGATCACTATTTCTCCATTCGCTCTACATTGTTACTTATTATTTACTTATATGAGTCCAAGAGTATTAAGTTAATGCTTTCTTACAGCCCAATACGGTATTAGATTTAACCTTATCAGCTGATATTGCTGATCTGTAGGTGCCATTATAATAATTATTATAATGCAGTTTACACATTCCCTTATTGCACGCATTTCTTTCTAGGAGCTAGTGTTGTAATTAAATACACGGTAGTATTTTTAAGTTACTGGGCTTTTCAATATAGAACACCAGTTCTTTCCCCCTGTTTTTATCTATCCGTGTAGCAATGCTCTAATATCCGGCTTAATAATTTATTCTAATTAGAATCAGAATCTTCGAGTTTTGTGTATACGGATACATTCTCATTAGACTCCTCTGGAGGTTTTTAATCGTTTATTGATGTATAAGAGCATCAGTGTTTGCTTAATTGAAGTCGTCATAGATATCAACGCATACTGCAAGTGTATACAATTTGTTATCGGATGATTCATTAATATAGTTTGCAACTTCATTCAACAGGTTTTTCATTGATCTTCTTTTTATATTCTTTGTCTGGTATTCGGTTGTGTAAGCAGGAGGAGCATAAGCCTGTATAGTTATGTCTAATACTACTTTCCCGATTCTATTGACAAAAGTAGCTTTATTACCTAAGACTTTTGTATTAAGGACATGTATAAGGATCTGTTCCCTGCAATTGGTGCTTGTGCTGACATACCCATCCACGGCGATGATGTTCTAAATCCATTACTGACCCTACTTTTACTAAAAAACTTCAAGTTAATTACATATCGTCACCTAAAACGCAAACGGCCCTATCTAACATTTTTAAAATTTTACAGGAGAAACAAAAAACTATTCAAATTGAAAAGTTTGTTTCTATCAACGCGATTTATTTGTAGTAAATAAACAAATTGTTTAATAGTGAAACCTATCATTTGTTATGATAGTTGACAATGGCGTATATAAAAATGGATAAATTGCACTTTTTACCTTTAATATTTTAATGTTTTTGTAGATAGGGTTTTTTGTCAACAAAACCGCTAATTTTTGGTTGGAGTATTCCAATTTTTTGTGGGGACATTTGTTTTGATGCAATACATTATAATTAACTATAAAATCGATTTTGAATTTTTGGTTCAAAATCGTTTCAGGTGACGATATACTCCATTGAAAATATGTATAATTATACCCCACACCACCATACATAGTGGGGACAAATATATTGGTCCAACACCCACCGGCTGAAAATCCAAAGGCCCAAAGAAAAAAATAAACAAGTAATAATTTAATTTTATTAAACATTTTTTTAATTGTTTTTGTTTTTAGCGGTAAATTAAGTAGTAGGTAAATATATAATTAACAAAATGGGCAGTGGTATGTTTTGCTTTTGTTAACAAAAACAACTTGAATCTAATATAAAATCAAATATTAAAAAAAGAAAAAAACTTACAGATATGTATTGAAACTAAATCAAATGAAAAAAATATTAAAATCAATAGAAATACAATTAGAAGTGGAACGTGGAACATGGAATTACTACAACTTACACTTATTTAGTTAGAATTGATTTCTTGAATGATGATACAGAATTGTATGTTGTATATTTAGTCGTATTAGTATTATTTGTATAAAACTACATATAAAATAGTGTTTGGTAAATTTTAGCATTTACCATTGGTGGGTGCTTTGGGGCGACAGATCTTGCTGCGACCATTTGCACCATAGACTATGTTGCAAGAGAAAGTGAAATAACCGCAAGTGGATGATTTAGTATAATAGGTGGACTGGAAGTTTTTGCTATCTTGAGGAGGATTCTTCGAATTGTCCATGCTGCCAGTAACAGATTTTGTTACGGTGACATAACTGTCAGGTGTTCTTGACTTGTGTTCGGGTTTTTCGTCGGCAGTTATGTTTAGTTTGTTCTCGGACTTATGAGGTTCTAATGATTTGGTATGGAATTTTTTCTCAACATTAACAGTGCCACGGAAACCACTGGGTACAGTTTCGGTAGTCGTGCGTGAGGGATATGTTTGGACACGTCCATTTTGGTTTTGTACTACGTTGTATTTTTTGGTAGGATCGGCAACGGCCACCTGTTGAGTTTGAGTGGGTGATGTTTGGGTATGAGTGCGATATAATGCTGATGACTCTTGCTTTTTATCATCATTGGTCTTTGAAGCCATTTTAACGGGATTTTCATTGTAATAGTCTTCCTCATCTTCATATTCGTCAAAGGGTTCTTCTTCATCTTCTTCGTCAGGTAAGTTTGAATCATCATCTAATTTATTTGAGTTTGCCACTAAAAATAAAAATATATTTCGGTTTCATTTTTTATAAGAAACTCTTGAGAAATGCGATGGTTGTTTACCTTCTTTATTTGTTTTGGAAGCTTTTAGTTGCAAATCGGGAATGTCAGACTCAGATGTAAGAGCTGGATTATATACAGTATCAACGCGATCAGTTACCCTGTAATAAAAATCTTCAATAAGTTTCTAGACTACAACTCAAGCATAATTCACAATATTACGCATCAGTGTTTCCGAATTGGCTGATTGTGTTAAAGAGATCTCTATTTTGTTCGCGATAGGTTGCAACCTGTTCTTTCGTACCGGAAGCAGATTGAGCTGCACCATGATAAGAAACGCCATATCTAAAGATGAATTAAAAAAAAAATAATTTAAATTAAGTGATTCCAACTTGTATTCATAAAACTTTAATTATTACTTCGAAGTTCCCTGAATTTGAGACTGGCTGTTTCCAGAATGTACACCTGACTGTGCAGAGGCTTGACCACCGCCTGTAGATCGTACAATTTCACCATCCTGACCAGGTCTAAAACCGATTTGAGCTTGAGATGATGTTTGACCTGGACCACTTGACTGAGCATCAGCCAAACCACCTTTATCGTTAGCTTGTACCTATATTAAAATATATTTGGCATTAGCTTCAAATAATCAGTAGTAATCGCCATTGATATCTTACCTCACTCTGGCTTTGGTGGATTATACCACCACTTTGAGATGATGCCTTTGTTCCTCCAGTCTTTTCGTTTACTTGTACTTGTGCTTGAGACTGAGCAGCTCCACCTTGACCTTGAGATTGACTCATGGCGCCTTCGGCTCCACCGGTCACTTGGGAACTTGCTGAACGGTCACTATCTGAGGTCATAGCACTAGCACTGAACGATCCACTTGAACTGTAAGTACCCTGCACTTGTGTTTTAGCTGTGCCTCCATTCTTTTTACCTTGAGCACTCGCTGCGGCTTGTCCATTACCAATAGAAGATTCAGCTTGTGAGAAAGCATCGTCAGCACCACCAACACCAGCAACTAAAAAATAAAAACATATGTATGCAACCCTCATTAATTACTAAGATATCAAATTCTTACCCAAACCTCCAGATCCAGCAACTCCTTGTTGTACTCCGGAAGGTTGTACACCGCCAGGAATGTAGGTTGAACCGGGTTGAACAATTTGTTGGGGACCTTGACCGTATTCAGAAACACCTGTGCCGGTAGGTTGGCCATAACCAGTCTGGACACCAGCACCTGGTACTTGAACTCCAGCTCCACTTGGTTGTCCAGCGCCAGACGGGATTCCAGATCCTTGTTGTCCAAATCCGGGTTGGCCATATTGAGCACCAGTACCTGGTTGACCACCACTAATTTGATCATAACCTCCACCAGCTCCAGGTTGTTGACCATAAGTACTATCATAACCAGGACCAAAGCCTGTACCTTGTTGAACACCAACGCCTTGTTGAACTCCAGCTCCTTGTTGCACACCTACACCTTGTTGTACTCCTGCACCTTGTTGTACGCCTCCAGCAGGTTGGGGAACAAAACCAGCTCCAGGTTGGGGGAAACCAGATCCAGGATATTGACCAAAACCAGCTCCTGGCTGAGCACCACCTTGTTGACCAACTCCAGGTTGACCGGATACTTGTTGACCTATTCCTGCTCCTGGTTGACCATATTCAGCACTAGGTTGCCCACGTCCTGGTTGTACGCCAGTACCGGGTTGCACAAAACTACCACTTGGACGAACACCACCTTGTTGAACCGAACCGGGTTGACCGAATGTCATTTGAGGTGGTTGACCTAAACCAACTCCAGTTCCTGGTTGAGCTCCTGCACCTTGCTGTCCATATCTGGGAACATAACCGGGTACTTGTTGAACACCTGTAGGTCTTTGTGACACTCCAGTTCCAGGTTTTGTCAAACCTGCGCCAGGTTGATATCCGGCACCGGGTTGACCGAAACCAGCACCTGGTTGGGTTAATATACCTTGTTGACCAACACCATGTGATACTCCTGAGCCTTGTTGAACTCCTGCAGCCGGTTGGCCAAATGCAGTACCAGGTTGAACACCTACACCTTGCTGACCATAACCAGTTCCAGGTTGAACTCCTGATCCTGGTTGACCATAGCCAGCACCTGGTTGAGTACCAGGCTGAACAAAACCACCGCTAGGTTGAAGACGGCCCGGCTGAGCGCCAGTACCGGGTTGAACAAAACCAGCACCAGGTTGTACACCTGTTCCAGGTCTACCAAAGCTAGTACCTGGTTGAACGCCTCCATGTTGAACTCCAGTACCTGGTTGCACAAATCCACCACTTGGTTGAACACGACCATGTTGTACACCAACTCCTTGTTGTACGCCAGCGCCCTGTTGCACGCCGGGTTGGCCGAAGCCAGCACCAGGTTGGCCAAAACCAGCACCAGGTTGCATTCCAGATCCGGGTTGTCTGTAGCCGGCACCTGGTTGAACACCACCTTGTTGAACTCCTGTGCCTGGTTGAACAAATCCACCACTTGGTTGAACTCGACCTTGTTGAACACCTACACCAGGTTGACCGAAGGCAGTTCCAGGTTGTCCAAATCCAGCACCAGGTTGTGTCCCGGGTTGTCTGTAGCCGGCACCTGGCTGAACAACACCTTGTTGGCCACCTGCACCAGGTTGAACAAAACCTCCACTTGGTTGAACACGACCTTGTTGAACTCCTGTACCAGGTTGAACAAAAGCGCCACCAGGTTGATAAACACCTTCTTGACCGGAAGTAACACCGGTTCCTGGTTGACCATAAACACCTCCAGGTTGAGTTTGATAACCTGGTTGAACTCCACTTCCAGGTTGTTGACCAATACCAGCACCAGTTCCAGTTGTTTGTCCAAAACCACCACCCACACCTTGTTGGATTCCACCAGCTCCGGGTCTTCCAATAGTGCCTGCGCCAGGTTGTTGCATAATTTGTTGTGGTCCTGTGCCAGGTTGTACTGCTCCACCTGTTTGCCTTCCTGCTCCTCCATAGCCTGGTGCAAAACCAGGTTGTTGAGGATAACCGGTGGCCTGTTGGTCAGTACCATATTGGGGTACTTGCTGTTGGCCGGGAGCAAATCCAGCACCTTTAAATATGAAGAGAATCGTTAAAAGTTATTTAAATGTTTTTATGTATTTATTTACTTGGTCTATAGAATGTTCCAGGTTGTGTAACTTGTTGACCAGGAGCCTGTTGTCCGGGCTGTCCATAGGAAGGGATCTGTTGGCCGCTAGCACTTGGTTGACGGCCATCGATACCATATGATGGTACTTGTTGGCCACCAGCACCAGAAGGTTGTATTTGTTGACCTGCACCTTGACCATAACCTGGCATTTGAGGACCGAAACCGGCACCAGGATGTTGTCCTGTAAATTATTTAAGGAAATAATAACCTTAATGAATTCTACTTGAAAATGCCATAAGCCATTGTTGAATATATCGGACTAATTCGAAAATTTGTACTTAAATATTCCAAATATGTATATTGAATATCGTTTATGAGGATATTAATAACAATATACATACCCTCTTGACCTGGCAATCCAGGAGGTGCGATCAATTGTGGTTGTCTCTGTCCTTGTTGTCCCATTCCACCGAAACCAGGTTTTCCAACGCCTGGAAAATACATTATTGCAAATTTAAATATGTATATTTATTATTTAAACGATATTATAAATTAATACGATCTATCGATCTATAATATGGAACTAAGCTTTTATTTTCAGCGTCACTCTAATGTACGCATATGTATAATTAAACTAATACTATATATAACTGTGTATACCTGATGGCTGAACTCCAGAACCTGGACCATATGTTGTCCCTATTATGAAAATTAATATTATTTGATAATTATTTAATGTTTGTAATGTATATTAATACCTGGAGCACCTTGTTGTCCAATACCACCACTACCAGTAGTTGGGCCATAACCAGGAGCGTATGAAGTTCCTTAAGAATGATGCGGGCAGATGAAATGTTTTTCATATAAAGAATATTTATTCGATTAATTACCTGGTGCTCCAGCGTGTCCTGCACCAGGAGCGTATCCAGTACCAGGAGCAAAGGCTCCTCCCATGCCGGGTCTTCCAACTTGTCCAGCAGTTCCTGGAGCTTGTCCTGCATCACCAGCACCGGGAGCATATCCAGTACCTGGAGCAAAGGCTCCTCCCATACCGGGTCTTCCAACTTGTTGAGCACCAGCGGTTCCTGGAGCTTGTCCTGCAACACCAGCACCGGGTGCGTATCCAGTACCTGGAGCAAAGGCTCCTCCAATACCAGGTCTTCCAGCACCAGCAGTTCCTGGAGCTCCTGCAGCACCAGTACCTGGAGCGTAACCACCACCAATACCAGGCTGTCCCATTTGAACTGGTGTACCACCAATACCTGGACCATAAACACCACCTATGCCAGGACTACCGACTTGACCTACAGCACCAGTATCAAAAGCTCCACCAGGTTGTGTTCCAGGCATTCCAATTATCGATGAAGGTTTACCATCTGAATAAGAGATAACATTTCCGTCCAATCTAAGAGGGTCGGGAGATCCAGTAGAGTAATCTTAAAAATGAATAAAACAAGTATAATTTAATTTAAGAATAATATTTACAATTATGTCACAAATATATGGAGTATATAACATTAATTTAATGAAATTACAAACATGTTTAATTACCATAAAGGGGACTTCCGACACCACAGCCACTGCAGTCTCCACTAGAGAATTGACTTTGAGCTTGTCCCATACCATGGGTTCCAGCTGCAACAAAATAAAAATTATATTTTTTTTACAAAATTTTTCAAATATATTAAAAACTGCACATACAAACTGTAGATCTGGAACCATTTTCTGTAGCTTCAGCCTCTGCTTTACCATCAAGTTCAGGTTGTCCAAAATTTAAGTACTGAGATTGAGTCTGGCCACGTTTGCTATAGAATAATATTAATTTGTCATTTATTTATGCATATATTAAGAAAATATGAAAAAGAAGTCCTCAAAAAATCTCAGAATTAGAAAATATCAGTATAAGACATTCACAATTTGAGGACAAATTTATAATTATTTCGAATTCGTGTCAAACGGTACCAAGCAATAATTACGAATGAACAATCACAGAGAGGATTTGTCAGATATATACGGACTTAATGTGTAAAATATCAACTTACTAGCTTCTTTTGGTTCTTTGAACTTCATCAGCTGAATTCTGTAAAATAAAAGAAACATAAATTATTTTACAAAACTTTTGCAATACAAATACTTATTTAATATATTTAATTCTAATGTAACCTTGAATTATTTATACTAATTATTTAATTACATTAATATTAAATCATAATAATAATACATACTACCAAATCATTCTACTTGTTTAATATTTAATAATTTCTTAAGTTTTAAATTATTAAAAAAAAAACTGTGATTAAGTGTTTGAAATACTAAGTTCATTTCAAATGTCAACTTTATCAATAAGAAGACCTACTTTTTCTAAGCTATTCACGGATTAATTACACGCATCACTTGCTTTTTGTGTGTTTTTTTTTCACTGATTCAGTTTCATTGTTTTTTATTTCTTGTTCTAATTAATATTTTTCAAATATATATGACCTTGGTCTTTCTTTTTTTCGGCGCAGCATATTATTAAATTCTTATCATAGATCTTTGTAATTTCCTGTTAATTTTCAAATAGAAAACGGAAGTTTTCAAATGTTAGTGAAATGGATTAAAAAAAAAAATAAAAATTTTATTTTATTTTTCAATTAGTTTTTATAATTATAACAACTTTTAAATCGGTCCTTAATTTCACTTAACAGTCATGGGGTATTGTTTGATGTTTTTAAATTCCTATATTAGACCGAGTCATTCTATATGAAAAGCAAAATCTTGATTTTGTTACCCCTTTTAAAATATTGATTGAGAGGGATTTTAAAGCCACATCCAATGTTGTACAATATAAAAAATATACATTTATGTAAATAACCGTGTCCTTATGGTCAGATTCCAAAAGTGTTTTTTTGTACACCGTTATACAGAGGAACACGCCTGGTACCAAATTGACACCAAATTTTTCAATAACATCCGTTGTCAAGTATATACATACAACAACAACATGTAATGTAGACCACGCAACTTTGTCAACATTGCAACAATTCGTTGTCGCAATCTAAACTTTATGCACATCCGTTGTTAACAAACGTGGTAAGCTCACTATTTACAACGCATTTTGAGCTTACCACGTTTGTTAACTTTTAGACAACGGATGTGCATAAAGTTTAGATTGCGACAACGACCAGGTCCTGTATATTTTTTATTCCTGTGTTAGATGTATCTTCCAAAAACCTTTCAAATGATACTACATATTGTATATTAACTTAAGAAAAAAATAGTAAATTTAAAAAGTTGTCAAAGCGTGCAAAATAAGCTTTTTTTTGATGAAATTTTCGGATTTGGATTCCAAAATCTCTGGAGTGTACAAAAAATTTATTTCAACAGACAGACAGACATGGCCTTTATGACTCCGCTATCTATCTATTTCTATATGATCGGAAAATTATATTGTGGGAATTACAAACGAAATGAAAAACTTATATACATATACCCTTCTTACGAAGGTGAATGGTATAAAAATGGATGGACTAGTAATTGGGGCGTGGTACCTCCTATATGAATTAAATATAAAATTTCGTATCTTTGAAATTAATAATTAGAAATAGCGAAAATCCTCAAATTTTGCACTGTAGACATTGAAATCTATGGAGGGAATAGAAATAGGGGGCGTGGCACCTCCCATATGAATAAAATACATAAATTCGTTTATCTGGGAAACTGTTGCAGCTAGAATCTTCAAATCTTGCACGAACATAAAAAAAACTTTATTGTTTAAATATTAAGATAAATATTGTAACAAATAAACATTGTTGAGGTCAATTAATACCGAATACTACTTTAGTACTTAAGTAGTAAGCGGATTTCGAAGAAGTCCGTTGCAACATATAAATATCAAGTAAGAAAGTATAGTAGTATAGTTAAGAGTATATTTAAAATCTTTTTGATACAATATAACAATTTCGTTCTTTGTTATATCGGACTTTACCTCAATTCCTATATACATATTTATGATATTTATTGATTGAAAATAGTTTTAGTGGATTTATGTTAATTTAAAACAGTAATGGACGTTAAGGTAGGGAAGGGAATTTTGAATGAAAGCTATTATCATCCATATTAGAAGTATATCTGCATCTGATGCGCAGTGACTTAGGAAATGCATCGCAGAAATTATGATGCGCAAAAATATGGTAAAACTAGCATCATAAAAATACCTGATGAGATGAGTATTACGATTTTAATTTGTTTCATTAACATTAATTTCGTATGGATAAAAATACAAAATCCTATTGATAAAATGATTATCAGTTTATTTGCATCAGCATCGCAAACTAATTATAAGATGCAGTTCAGTTATGCATTTTCGAAGAGGTCATCTATACATGTGAACGTATTTAATAATCCAGCAGTTCAACAAAGAGTTAATATATTCGAAAAGACACCATTTTCACGTTAGTCTTTCGTCACAAAAGCTCTTCTCTGTAAACTAGAATGAAGACTGTCGTCAATTTAGTGTCGCCTTTGTAAGCGAAAGATAAGACAGTGGTCACTTTACAGTCCAAAGCAAAAAAGTTCATTGACATGCATTGTCTCTTTTGAGTTAGTTCAAACTGACTTTCTGTTTGTAATCTATGGAGTGTCGATTGCATTCCTTGTAGGACAAGCACATGTTAAAAAGAGTAGCCGGTAGCTAGAGGTAACTCTAAGAGGTAGCTTAAATAGGTAGTTCTGGGATATCCCGCGAACTCCTGGGATATTCTTACATTATGCCTAATCATTATACCCTACACCACTATAGTGGGAGGGGAATATACGTTTCAATTCAAGATATTTTAACAAAATTTTAACCATAAGAATTTTTCTGTACAAGGACGAAGCCTATTGAAAATAAGCGTCCAAAATTGACCATTAGTATTGCAATTTCCCAATTTTTGAGGCCATATTTATTTGACTCTAACTCCCATATAAGACTCTTTTAGAAAATTAGTTTTTCATCAATAAAATATTTAAATACATCGGAATTAAGGTAAAATTCAACATAAAAGTATCTTTATAAGAAATAACTAATTTCTAAAATGTACTCATGGTGTAGATTTTCATATGGTCGGCCATACCCGACTATACTTTTCTACTTGTTTTATTAAAATTAAACACTTACAAATAGTTGCGTTTTGAAATCAATCCTTTGTATCTAGATATAAATTTTTAAGTGAAACCATGGACTCTTTACTTGTCATTGACAAGTTTAGGTCGAAATTATATTCAAATATCTTGGGAGCGATGTTATTGCAGATATTATATCCCTTACACAAAGGGAAAAAGAAATATACACGACTGGTACCAAATTGACACCAAAGAGTTTAAAATTTTTCAATAACATCCGTTGTCAAAGTATATCCATACGTACGAAAACACTATGTAGCAACGTTGTCAACATTGCAACATTTAGGCAACGGTAGATTTCGACAACGAATTGTTGCAATATTGTCAACATTACATAGTGTTATCGTATGTATGTATATACTTTGACAACGGATGTTATTGAAAAATTATAAACAGTTTGGTGTCAATTTGGTACCAGGCGTGTACGTTTCATTTTCCCACTGTATAGAAACACTAATTTTAAATAAGTTTAAGAAATATTTCAAAAGTACATCTCCATTTGGGAACACTCAATCTATCAGAAACATGTATTAAAATCCAAAGGAACCAAAACAAAATATTTTTTCCAGACCAATGTAAATTGCCTAATTTACCGATTCTATTATGTTTTAAAAATTAAAAGTTCAGACTTTTTAATTTCTTCTGTTTTTTAAACATATTAACATAAATTCGAATATTTTAAGATGTTAAACAAGGGAAAACATCGTGCAAAATTAAAAAAAAAAATTAATTTGTAAAAATTTACACAACTTTACACACATAACTTTGAAATAATTTGATTTAAATATTATTTTATTTAACCCAATCATGCAAATAGTTACTGGTATTATTTAAGTTAAATTTATACAATTGCAGTGACAAAACATGATTTTGCATCTGATCGAATGATGACGGCAAATGTATTCCTTAGTTGCACCAACAGAAATTTTTTCACCAGTACTATAACAATTTTTTTCTTAACGGATTTAATAGTTTAACAAAAAATTCGAGTAAAATTTTATTTTATACGATAAACACAATAAAAATTTTCATATTTCATGTATGACGCGAATTCAAACACTTTAGTTTTTTGATACTAGTCTTAAATAATTTTTCTTAATAAAATGTACACTTTTTTAATTATGTTTAAGTTTATTTATAGACATTATTAAATATTTTTAATCAGTTTTCTATTTTTTTTTTGTATTTTAATCATTTTCACTTACAATTGATGCTCCATGTGAAAAGGCCACTAATAGCGCCACACCAAGCAGGCCCCAACGAAAGGGCAACATTTTTCTTGTTAATCCAAAAATGTATTTGAATTAACTTCTGAAATCACTTTTAAATACGATTAGATTTGTTTTATATTTTGTCGTTGCTAAGACACGACTTAATTCCACATAAAATGACAGCAAACTAGAATGAGATCGAAATGAATTAATACTTTTTAGCACAATTCTTTATATTTTTAATAATTTTATTTCTCAATTTTTTTATGTATGTATGTATTAAAACAATATATTATCTGTAGACATGAGATTAAACAAGTGTCGTTAATTTTAAAACATATTTTTTATAGCTTCACTTATTTCTTAATATATATATATTTTTTTAATTTTAAAAATTTTTTGAATTATTTTCTGTTGTTGAAAGGGTTTTATTTTCATTGTTTTAAAAGTTTTTATTATTTATTAATTTCTTTTAAATTAACATCAGTTTTAAATAAGTAAAATAAAAACAAATTGAAATTATATCTGAAATAAATCCTTTTTTATGTTTTTGTTTTCTCAAATTCCGACATTTAGTTTTGATAAGCTTCTTTTTTTCAAATAGTGTTTTTTCTATGTATAGAGATACATAATAATTATAATATTACTTTTCAACGCAGGAAATTGTAACGTTTTCAAATGCTTCCGATCGCGACAACTGCTGGATTCCAAATAACGCACAATATTCAAAAGAACTAAGAGCTATACTTAAAAAATATTGAAATTTATTCAGAAAATAAATTAAAACTAAAACAAAACTATAAAAAAAGACATCAAGACACAATTGCACACAGATACTTTTTCTTGATCGATCGTATGTATGATCGTTTGTATATGTTCGTTCGTTTTTTTTCTCACATTCAAATGAAATTCAATACAGACCAACAATGAAACAACACTGATGTACATATGTATGTACACATGTATTTTGTCGTTGTTTTTACATTTCGATTACGATTAAGTTTTGTTGTAATTTTTACATTTATACATAGTAGGATCCATGAGAGCTCCACAAATAATTACAACAATAAACACAAATACATACAAAACACAGATACATAGTTTTGTTTGTGTGTTCTGTTATTCATAATTTTCATCTTGGTTCGCATTATCGCATACATCTGAAACAATATCAGCAAGACCAGCAGCCAGCGATTCCATTCATCAGATATTGTCAGAAAATGTTAAAATGATTTCGTTTTTTATGTTTTACGAATGTAAACGTTTCAATTTGAAATCGAGGGTGCGAAAATGATGAGTCCCTATCATAACATTTAGATTGTATCTATTGATAGCTTTAAGTAGACAATTTGCTATTTTAGCGTGTTTTTCATAACAGTTAAGAGAGAATTGTAGTAATTTGTGGCGAAATTAAAACGCTTTTGAAAACACTTTGACTTTGTTGTTATAATCGACAATGAAGTTGGACTTAAAGAATAATACTCCCAAGGATGGACGGACAACCTCAATTCAAATAATTCTTTCGACATCACATTAATACCGAGAGTTTTTGTGTTGGCGACATTTATCCATAGACTAGCCGGTTCCGTAACCAACGTGTCGCTACAGAAGCTTTAACATATCATTCTGCCGGCATCGCAGTCCCCATACTATCTTCCTGGCGTTCACTTTTTCAAGGGTCCTTTCTAGAACTATATTAAATAACAGTGGCAAGAGGATACATCCTTATCGGATATCAATCTCATATTCTATCGGACTAATCAACAACTAATTCTGGAAATGCGATAGATAGAAAGTCTTTACAAGACGAAAGAGGTGGCGTGTCATAGTGTCCAATGTCATAGCGTCCATGTTATGTCCATAAGCAATTTGTCATAAAGTCCATGGATCTCAAAGTGTCCATTTATCAAAAAAAGGCTTAATTTAGCTAAGCCGGTATTAGAAATACCTCAGAGTTTAAAACCCCATGCGACCGGCGGAAGGCGTTTTTAAAAATGTTCCTGTCTCTGTCTGGGATCATCTTATCTGAGATTCCTTTGAAAATTATCGGTAGCATGCGAACATACAAAAAAAACATACAAAGCTATGTATGATAAGGGTTTGATGCGTCCACACTGCACTTCAGTTCTTTGAGTTCGTTGTGATGTATTTGAAAAAGTATGTATGTAGTTTGGAACTACTATTAGATCAGCTCTTTTCGGCAATTAAATTGCACTCCAGGTTTTGACGGAAATCTATTATTTTCTCTCTCGTTCCCCAGATCCAAGGATTTCAATAACTATTGATTTTCCAATACATTTGATAATGTTTGGTTAAGCATATATTTTTATACCCTACACCACTTTAGTGGGGAGGGTATATTGGATTTGTGCTGATGTTTGTAGCATACAAAAATATTCGTCCTAGACCAGAGGAGCTCAATATTGCCATTACATAGCACGCGTGATAGGGTAAGAAAATTCTGCTGACGCTAAGTTGGTACACATACACTATAGGTTTAATTCTTCTTCTTTTTATAATGAGCAATATCAGTTGCTTTTCTCTCAACTTGAAAAACAAAATGAAATCAGTTGCTGATCAGCACTTGTCGAAGCGAGGTCTGTGCGCGAAGTTTTTAAAATACACACAGAAATACAACAACAAAATTTTGAGAAAGCCGAATTAATGTAGGAGAACGTGAGAGAACAGTTGACAGTTTTTTATATATAGACTTTGATATACGCTGGCTGTCAAAATCCGTAATAAATATTTGACAGTTAGCATATACTTTATAGTTTGTAGTCATTTTATTCGTATACTTTTATTTTGAATTGAATTCTGTTCTCTGCTGCTTTACCAACACAAATAAAACTATGGTAATCTATGGTGGTATGTGTTTGAGCAACACTGTCCTAGACCAATCGGCTTAGAATCGTTTTCTGAGTCGATTAAGGTACTGGTCGCAATTTTCGAGATAACTGGATGAAATTTGGCACGCACGTTTTATTTGACCTAAGGACGAAGCCTATTGAAAATGGTTAAAATCGGTCCATTATTTCACCTAGCCCCCATACAACAGAACCCCCCGAAAAGGGCTTCTGAGCTCATAATTATGTTAAATATACAGATATATCGATAAAATACGGCACAACTAAGTTTTATAGAAGTCTTGATGACCCTGCCAAATTTCATAAACACAAATATCGCGATGAAATTCAGCACAATAAAATATTATGTCAATATAAATATATTCACAAAATTTTATCGGGCTTGGTCCATATTTTCCCCTAGCCCCCATATAAAGCCTCTTTCAGAAAATTAGTTTTTCATCCATAAATTGCTTAAATGTATCGGAACAAGGGAATATTGAAGATAAATGCTTTATTATGAAAAATAAATCACATTTAATATTCATAACTGGTGTAGGGTATCATATGGTCGGCCACGCCCGACTAAAATTTCTAACATGTTTTTAATAAGGTGCCATCTAAATCAAAATTTTTTAGTGACTCGCTTAATTTAAGTAAAGACGCATCAACTGGGATAACAGACTCTCGCAAGAGCTTAAGGACTGCCTTAAATATCGACCTGAGGTTAGTGAGTTAACTTGGAAGATAAAGATCCCTTTGAGTTTGTGAGACGATTTGTAATGTAATAGAAAGTAAACACTCTGGGTTCGAACTGGATTACGAACAAATATTACACATTTATTAATATTAAATAGTTCACATTTTATGTCACTCCAAGTAATTTAAAAAAAGCTGTAGTGGGTAACACTAAAAGCGAAACTTATTGTACACAATTGAATTGATTCTATTTTCACACAAAATTTATTCATGTTCTAGGATGACCCCAGCGAACGAACAGTCAGTGTGGTAAAAATAATTCTCAAGTGTATTTCTTAAGTTATTTATGGAATGGATGTGTTTTGATGTGTTTGCTTTAATTCATTAACTTGTCATAGACTTTTGACCCATTTTGAGAAAGTATTGACATCCATTAAGTTTTTTTATTACATATAGCATTAAAAATCTTAAGTAATTTATAGAAATGTTTACATATGTTTGCAAACAAATGATTTGACATTAATATTTATAGTACAAATTTGAATACCAACATCCAAACATTTTACACAACATCTACTTGTGTCAACATTTGTAATATATTCCAGATGCAAGTGCTCTGAAGTTTTATATTTTTATTATAATATTCATCGAACAAAAGTCGAAATGTTTATTTTTAATTATAATAAATTCATGTGTCGCCATTCTGACTATACTTCTTCCAATTAATATGGGTTCCAGAATACAAGTAAAAATAAAGTAAAACGAATGGAAGTATCTCAAGGATTTTTTCGGCATTTCAATTCAAAACTTTGTTTCTTAGACAATAATGTTAATTGTTCGACGTCGAAATCGATAAGACCTATGCGAAAGATTAGATATAATCAAAATTACAATGACTGATGGTATCGTGGTATTTAATTGTACGCGAACAGTTAAGTGAGGTCGAAGGGAATACGTTTCAGTATTGTATAGTATTAGATGCTTCTTGTAGACGTAAGAAATCCTAGAAAATCATTAAGTTTTCATCCAGATTTATCACCAAGGTTGGATATGAAGAAATTGCAAAGGAAACCGTTTCTCTGGAGCAGGGCATTCGCAGAGAAGATGGAAGACCGAGAAGATGGAAGATTTTCAAGCTTTTAAAGAAAGAAATTGGCTTATGATAGAAACCGTCATAGTTGAAGCAGCGTTGGAGATAACCATAGCAGATCTGGGTTCTGGCTTGTGCAAACAAACAAATGACTAATAGGTAAGTGGTAAGAGTTTAGTGAAAGAAGAAGAAAATTTCAATGCTGTCGCAAATATTGAGGTCATATAGCCTTACAGGCTGACATTATCCTCAATTGTTAGGAAGACTGTGATTGATACTTATCTTAGCATGTCCGAATGTTCATGATCTTTGATGATTTTTCTTAGTTGAAGTCCATACAAAAGATCCCTATGAAATAATTGGAAGTATACATTCATTTAACTATATTGGGACTAAGTTCCCAAATCATCCTAAACATCTTACGACATATATAGTAGGCGACTATTGCCTTCTTGACTCTGTGTTGGATATTAAGTTTCCATGATAATTTAGTGCATTGTTTGGTAATTGAATTTGGCAGTTCTTTAACCGCTGCTTGGAATCTTGATATTTGTTGAGAATAGTACCAGTTTTGTTTTGCTATGATTTCTCCTAGGCCACTATCTGTGGCCCAGTTATTAAGTAGCATTAAGTAATATTCCCAGTAGTCTGGGAATATTACTGATACCAGTATCATAACATTTTCTACGTAAGCAACAACTTTTATCTCTCTGTTGTCCATATCAATAAGTATCGACCTAATGATGTGCGTCGTTCCACTTGCTTGGGCTTAACTCTGTTAGCAAGATTCTCGGTAACTATTTTAGAATTCAACATAGCAACTAACCAGATTCTGATATACTCCTCGACGTCCAGGTTTGTAAGATATTGTAGTCTATGTCTAATATGTGAGTCTTCATAACATATAACAATTGAAACATTGCACAAAAAGGAGAGGTGTTCATGAGCCAAAGTGCTAATAAACGAAAAGCCGCCGTATAACGTTCGTGTTAACGTTCTTACTACTTCTGGTCGTTCGTTGAAAGTTTAAAATATAATGCTAGATATTTAATTCAGACACAACAAATTGCATTTGGTGTTGGTAATAATTTCTCATTATTTATTTTGGACTTTTTCAGAAATGGAATCTCATCTC